ATTCTAGAGAACTAGACTGTAGTCTAGTCTGTAGTTTAAAGTCTAGTCTATAGTCTGTAGTCTATAGTCTAGTATATAGTCTAGTCTATAGTCTGGTCTATAGTCTAGTCTATAGTCTAGTGTATAGTCTAGTGTATAGTCTAGTCTATAGTCTAGTGTATAGTCTAGTCTATAGTCTAGTTTATAGTCTAGTCTATAGTCTGGTCTATAGTCTGGTCTATAGTCTAGTCTATAATCTAGTCTATAGTCTAGTCTATAGTCTAGGCTATAGTCTAGTCTAGTCTAGTCTATAGTCTAGTCTATAGTCTAGTCTATAGTCTAGTCTATAGTCTAGTCTATAGTCTAGTCTATAGTCTAGTCTATAGTCTAGTCTATAGTCTAGTCTATAGTCTAGTCTAGTCTATAGTCTAGTCTATAGTCTAGTCTATAGTCTAGTCTATAGTCTAGTCTAGTCTAGTCTAGTCTAGTCTATAGTCTAGTCTATAGTCTAGTCTATAGTCTAGTCTATAGTCTAGTCTATAGTCTAGTCTATAGTCTAGTCTATAGTCTAGTCTATAGTCTAGTCTATAGTCTAGTCTATAGTCTAGTCTATAGTCTAGTCAATAGTCTAGTCTATAGTCTAGTCTATAGTCTAGTCTATAGTCTAGTCTATAGTCTAGTCTATAGTCTAGTCTATAGTCTAGTCTATAGTCTAGTCTATAGTCTACTCTACAGTCTAGTCTATAGTCTAGTCTATAGTCTAGTCTATAGTCTAGTTTATAGTCTAGTCTATAGTCTAGTCTATAGTCTAGTCTATAGTCTAGTCTTTAGTCTAGTCTTTAGTCTAGTCTATAGTTTAGTCTATAGTCTTGTCTATAGCCTGGTCTATAGTCTAGTCTGTGTTCTAGTCTATAGTATAGTCTATAATCGTGTATATAGTCTAGTTTATAGTCTAGTCTATAGTCTATTCTATAGGCTAGTCTATAGTCCAGTCTATAGTCTATTCTGCAGTCTAGTCTATAGTCTAGTCTATAATCTAGTCTATAGTATAGTCTATCTAGTCTATAATCTAGTCTATAGTATAGTCTATACTATAATCTAGTCTTTAATTTAGTCTATAATCAAATCTATATACTGGACAAAAGTATTCTCAGGAAAGAACCACTGGTGTTACGTGAGATCTTTTGACATGCCCTATATTAGAAATAAGGGTTAAGTTAACGACTTATTTAGTTGATTTTGTATTATTTTAAATATTATATGTAGTAATTTAAACTTGTTACTATTTAATTTTAATATTTTTAAATAATCTTATTTTTTAATTTTTTACGGCATGACAAAAATTCCATAATACTATACATATGTATGTATGGGTTTTATTTATTTAATTTATTTTTATTTTGTGGGGGCCAGTGCAAAAAGTAATGACGTATTTTTCTCTATATTTTTCTTCATTCATC